ACTAAGCCGGGTATACCATGGAGGCTTGAAGCTGAGACCAGAACAGCACAGTTTCAGAAAGTAACAACCTCTAAGAGTCAGCTAAGTCGGGTATCTTACTAGTTAGATACTTTGAATTTAGTTGGCAAAGTTCAAGATCAGTTAATTATGTAGTACTTGCGGGACCAGTTGATACTGGAGCAGCCCTAAATAGTACACAGTCATGAGTTAATGTTCACAATTTAAAGGCAATGTTCATGATGTAAGGTCGACATATAATAGTTGTTCAGCCGGGTTAAATGTGGCGGTCTGATATACAGACCATTTGTACCTGGAAACTTGAAGTCGCGCCTTATCAAGTCAAGTAAGTCAGTAAATGTCATGTTCCAAATTCCGAGATGATTATTTTAATTGCCTCGGGATAGTTTTCAACGTTCAGATAAAGAATGATTTAGTCATGTAAAAGTCAAGTCCTGGATATTCAGTAATGTGAATGCTCAGGCCAGTTATGTTAAGTCAAGGATAGTATGTCTAATAAGACGAGACTTATCAGCTATTTCAAGTATGTCCAGTACCTCGATTCTCAAATGCAGATAATTTGAGAACTCGTAAGAAAGATCAGTTATGATAAACTTTTCTTGAGGTTAGATTTAACCTCAGGAAAAGTAAACAGTTGCAGGTACAACATGTCGATTTTCGACACGGCGAAGAAGACCAATCAATAGCAGCAGATCATGCCATGATGACAACCAAGCTTTCCATTCAAGTATGCATGACGCCAGAAGAGCAGGATGCCATACCATGTTTGGTCACAGTACACTGGGAGATTACGGAGAGTTAGCCCTTTAGTACATTGAGAATTACTAGCCAAGATACAGATATGATCAGCCAGATAAACTACATCGACGTCGCAGGTGCAATTTTCGCCAGGTGCTGTGTGTGTAGGTGTGCCGCACTCACTTGAGGAGGAGCAGGTATGCCGCATTACGATGTGCCGCGAATGGTGTGCCGCGGGTCGAGTAGACAATCATGAAAGGTAGTTGCCACGATTGCTAGTCACCCTCATTCGTACACGTGTGCATCTCTGAAATTTTCCAGGAGTACCTACGACGGGAAGTACCACGACCAACGTTCAAATTGAAGACCCGTAGTCAGCCAGGAGATGAAGATCAGTACGTTCCAGAATAATGGTTATTCAGTGAACATTTTATTTCAGAAAAATGTTCCATTTCAATCAGTGTTAAATCATCAACTCACTTAATTGTGAATTGTTGATTTCTCAGTTAAAGATCCAGTCTAATGTTCAATATTCGACACTGAACTTTTTAGTCATGTCAGCGATGAGTATAAGCTTCATGTTAAGCTTATACATTTCAGTTTTAGTATTTCCGAGGACGGAAATATTTTAAGGAGGGTGGATTGTAACACCCC